TGGCTGTTTGTATGTCTTGATGTGACTCTGATGCCCTCACTTGTGAGTGCCTTGCCTCCCGCTCCCAGGAATCTACAGTCTAGGTAGAGGGATAAGATCATCCCCAACTCCTAACTTTTATGGGAGAGGAAAGCAAGCCCCAGGGAGATGTAGGTACTCTCTGATCTTAGGATCTGGCCTAGGCAAAAGGATCAGGAGAGGCTGAAGTGCTAGGTCACAATGGGAGCCTGGGGCTAGCTCTTTGCTGAGCAGGCAGGCACCGCCAGGGACATCTGTCCTCAAGTGTGGGGTCCTCCTCCTCTGGTGTGGTATCCTGAGACTAAGATCTGGGAAGCAGTCATGAGTCAAGATCAGACAGGCACAATGATCCCTAAAAGACCAGTCCAGAAAGAGAAATGAGGGGTCGTGCAATGTACTCAGGGCCGGTAATTTACAGCATTTTAGATTCTTTCAAGCCACCTGAGAGGTAGATTTTACGACTGGCATTCTACAGATAAGGAAGATGAAGTTAATGGAGGTTATGAAATTCACCTAAGATCACACAGCTAGAGAGTGGGCATTCAGACGCAGACCCACTCACCCCAGTGCCTTTCTGCTTCATCCTGTGTCATGCTGCCTCACTGCCTTCTGCCTGAGGTCAGGCCTGCTTATAGCGATGATAATGCCGGGCCATTGAAAGAGATGAAATGGTCCCAGTTGCAGGAGAGGAGGTGTGCAAAGCTTAAAATGAGGCAGGACTAATAGGTCAATTGAGGTAACAAAGCCAGAGGAGTTGGCTCAGAAGGAGTCAGGCCCCTGGGTTTTGATTCTCAACCCTCTTGTACCCTGATGCTAACTACTTCTGAAACGCTGAGCTCAGGAATGGCTGGAGGGCTCAGCTGCAGGAGAAAGCTCATGTTTGGAGTGCCATGGGAGGGATAGGGAGAGAATGGAGAGAGGCTTGGTGGGGCCAGCCATGAGGAGAGGCAGGCTTTATTGAAATAGCCAGCTTCCTCACGTACAGCCTAGTGAGGCAGATCAACCTGGAACCAAGACCCATTGCTCCTAGAGGTCAGGAATTAAGACCCTTCCCTGTTTGGGTTTTCTCCCAGCGTAGGCCTGGAAGTGAGTGCTCAGATTGCAAAGCCAGAAAGTGAGAGAGGTTTCAGGCTGCTGCCGTTCTCTTGTTTCAAAGGACAGAACCTTTGGGTGACCCCAACAGCCAAGCCCCAGGCCATGTCTGGCTTGCACCAGCTACCCCCAGAGCACAAAGTCTCCTCCCTGCTGCCTTTTCTGGGCTTTCACCTCCTTAACATAGCCCTGAGCGTTTCTCCAGAACTTCCTGTTTGCCTGCAGCTGCACAGATGCAGGTCCCACCCAAGGGTCATCTGAAGGAGGCTGGGTGAAAGGTGGGAGTTGGCTGTGTTCCCCATAGCTCCTTGGGGTTTTCTCCACCCACACATGGGTTCTCTGGCTTCGCCACTCCCATCGGGCTCTGAAGCCAGTGGAGCAGAGGCCCCATATCCAAGTTAGCTCACATGAAGGTCAAGGTGACCCAAAAGGGCTTGTAGCCAAGATCCTTCTTCTTCTTCTTCTTCTTTTTTTTTTTGATTTTTCACTTTTCCAAAAGTCCAAACAAGTGATGACTTTAGGACATAGCATTCTGGAGAAAACAGGGGAAGGAAACAAAGTCCTCCTTGGTTAGGGAAATGGAGAAAAAGCACACAGGGGGTGAGGCCTTTGGATTTTCTGAAAGAGCGTCCCCATGGTCAAAAACCCGTACACAAACCTTGTAGGTGCTGGGCCTATAGGAACTGTAAACAGAAGGACAGAATGAATATTCCTGGGGTACAGAGACTAAGTCAATGCCAGTGTTGAAAAATTTCCAATATGTGGGTCTGGAAAATGTTCCTAGTGCAAAGCAGAGTTTTCCGGGCGGCTACCATTCCTTCACAACCTAAGAGGGCAGAGGCTGAAGTCATCAGGCGAGGATCTGTCTGCTCTGGCTAGTCTTGGGCTGTTCACCACATGCCTGTCCTAATGATTAGATTATTTCAGTGTTTAGAGTATTGTGAAGATATAACACTGTATTAGAACATTGCATCGTATTGGCTTGGGGATAATACCGTCATGCAAATAACATGAAAACAAGTTTTTTAAGGTGAGGATTCAGGAGCTCCGTGTAACTGTTCTGAGTCTCTCTTCTCACTCTGTCTGTCTACAATTTGCTTCTGAAGGGACTTTGGTCCATGACAACATAAGGGAGGAGATAAGCAGGTTGATAAAATGGCAAACTTCTAAGGAGTCCAAGGAAAGAAGAGATTTTGTCTACAAAGTTGTGTCAGCTATCGCTGTTGGATTTTTGGAGATTTTATCCAACACTCTCAGCTCTTTGATGCCCCAGGGGGCTGGCCCTTATGCTCTGTGTCACCTGGGGTCTCTTGTCTGCTGACTTCTGAATTTTGCCAATGAGAGCAGCAGCGGGAGATTAGATAAATGTCGGAATGTTTCTTCCCTGTGTCTGAGCCTGACAACAGCTGTGATCCTCCTAGTACAGATTTTACCAGGAGGTCCATTCACAACAATTCCTCCCCACACACAGTTTTGGCTGTCAATGGGCTCCTGTCGTGCTATTTTGCCCTTTTTCCTTCTCAGTCCTAAGGGTCTGAAGACCCCATTGCTAGGCTCTAGGTGTCTCTTCTCTGTAAATAATCCCTTTGACAAAGTCTTCATTTGGACCATCTGCAGGGATCTGTGGCTCCCTAATCATAACAAGTTTCCTGAGGGAAGTAAATATTGCACACTCAGCATCATGGTATTCTAGTTTGTTCCTGACTGTTGACTTTGTCCTATGGGAGAGGTCATCTTTGTGCAAATTGGCAATCCACAAGAAGTGAGCTGTGCACAAGAGCATTTGAAGACTCACGACACACAGTCATAGCAGGAAGTGGCAAGGCAGCAAGCTGTGAAGAGGCAGAAGGGGAAGATGGGGACCAGAAGCTGAAAGATACGGATGATCCAGAGAGCAATTGTAATAGACACCAAGGTGAGCTGCTCAGATTGCAGGTGTGTGGTCCACCAAGCAACCTCCAGCTGATGCTCCCTTCTGAGTCTGCCTCAGCAGGGAAATGCCATTTCTTACAGGCGCAGCCCAGCCGGGTAGGGTATAAAGGGTATGAAGGCCTGGCTATACTGCCTGATGGTTTGTTCGGCTCCTTCTTCTGTACAACCATGTAGCCTCTCTCTTCAAGTACTGACCTCTAATAAACATCTTGCATTCAAACTCCATCTCTGCTCCCTGAGAACCCAACCTATAAGGCTAAGTTTAAAAGAATTTACAGCAAGAGCAGCAAAAGCACATTAAAATAATTAAACCATTTTTACTTTTTGGATTTATTTTATAGATTTCATATGTTGCAAGGAGCATTTATATTTTGTACAGAGGCAGAGAAAGTCCCAGGGGGCATGAGAGCTGGGTGAGAGCCATGGCTGATGAGTTCTTTCAGAGCTTCCGAAGGAGGGAATCCAGATCAGAAATGTGCAAACTTCTAAGAAGTTAGAGCTTCGTTCAGTGACATTATGGATACACACAGGATTATTTGAGACTAATCTGAGTTTACATTTAGGAGGTAAAATAGACATAACCATGGAGGATCCGGGCTATGAAGCATTTTCCCTATCCCTATTTGACAAAAAGGGAAACTGACAATGGGAAACTTTGCAGTATCTGTGTGCCTGATGGTCAGCAGAGATGTTTTACACATGAACTTGAAAACAGCACTGAATCAGCATGTGCATTCTTTTCTTAGGGTTATGGAAGAGTGAGGACTTGAAATATTTTACCCCAACAAGTAAAATGACTTATCTGAAAAATGAACATGTTTTTTATTGCATTTCTAGATTTCTGACCCACAGGAACACTCCTTGCTACCCCTTAATAGTCTTTTCATCCCAACATCCTGGTACCCACACATTTGCATGAGGCTCAGACTTAATAGTGTCCTCTTCCCATGTCTCACACCCCTGACTGCTGGAAACTTCGTGTCTAACCTCATGCCCCCTCATTCCTTCCTGCTTATACCCTTTCCTGGTTACTTCCCCAGAAACCATGTGGGTGGCTGGTTCTTGAGTTTAAATATGAGTCTCATTTCTACCCTGGAGCTACCTCTGAGGCAACAGGAAACACAAGAAAAATACGATCCACCTCTGAGTGGGTGAATGTCATATCCTTGACCAGAGACATAAATTGTGTTACAACTCAGGGACAAGGTAAAGTGAGGGCTTAGGAATTTCCTAAATGAGCAGAACCAGCTCTATCCCTAAAGTCAGTTCTTTCAAATGATTAATAAGGCCTACTCAGATTGAGACAATTCTTACTTCCAGGCACACTGGACTAAGGCTTATGACAGAGTCATGCTACGAGGCAATATCCCACTTTTCAGTCTTGCCCACCTCAAGCCCAACATAGCTACCAAAATAACCTAAAGAAATCTAAACTCTCATCACTTCCACTGTTACTAATAGGATCCTTTACAAATAGCATGTTGATCTCTGTCCAGAAGGTGTTCCCATCTCTTAGCCTGCTAATCCTGCCCATATGATCAATGAATTAAGAGCTTCTAAAAGCTCCTCCAAATGATCTCTATCTCCGGGCCAAGTCTTTAGATTTAGTTTAGCTTTCAACACCTCTGTGATATAAGCTCTGACAAAAACAGCTTGCATCCTTTGGTTTAAGCTCTAACAAAAACAGCTTGAATCCTTTGGTTTATGCTAATGAATGCATTTCTCCCTTTTTATCTCTTCTCCCTTTCCATGTCAGGGAGGGAGACAGCACACTGGGACGAAGACAAATATGGTGATAGTGTGTGGCCAGAGTAGGACCACCGTGGGAGGGAATTGGAGGACAAATTACTTTTGATATTTTCCAAGTCACATTTAATGGTTTCACACTAGCCAATTCTTCCCCAAACCCACCTAGCTCAGGAACTCAAGTCTTTTCAACCAAAGGATCAAAGGAAACATTTCTGCTTTCAAAGTTTTATTGAGATGTTGAGGAGAAACAGCCAACATATACATTCCTCATTTCGTCACAACTGGCATTTGATCCACATTCCATAGGCTCCTCTCTGGCTTTGATCTAACATCAGTTCTCCTTGGCAGTCCCCCTTCTGCTGTTCTTGTTGCTGCCTGGTGCTGTGTGAAGTGCACCAGGGCAGAGCCCGCCGAGGACTCACAAGTGGGAGCGGTAATTGCGATTGGCTGTGGGAAAAGACAGGTTTGCAACAGAGACGCAATTAGAACATTCCCATCAATACTCTTATTGCTCAAATCTGCATTTAGTTATTGGAAATAATCTCAGGCCAAGATTTCAGGGTCCTGTGAGGGCTGCCTCCAAGAGGGAGGGCCTGGCAGCAATATGTGCCTAAGTTTGGCAGTTTCCTCCCCATTCCTCACTCACCATCATCACCCCGTTTCCTACTTTTCAGGTTGCCCTTACGGTATTTCCTTTTGCTGCCACCTCTCTTGACTCCCTTGTGAGGAGATCGGCTCTTGCTCCTCCTCATGCCATGACTCTTTAATTTGCGGCTGGTCGACATGGTAAGTTCTGCCAAAATGAGGGGCTTTGCAAGGCCCGGGGGCCAGGAGTCTGGATATTTAAGGGCTTGGCCATTGTGACAGGGAAGGGGCGTGGCTCAGCAGGTGGGCGGGGCTCTATTGTGCTGTCACTCACCTTTGCTGCACTTTGGTCATATATGTGAAATAAGGTGGTCCTTTTCATGCAGCTCAAGGGTTTCCCTTAGTTTTGAGGTCCTTTTGATGTTAAGTGAGGCTTTCCCAGAGGTGTTATTGAGCAACCGAATCCCAGCCCTGTGCCAAGCATTGGAGGAGTACAAGAGACCATTCGAATATGCTTCTCCTGCCTGTAGGAAATGTAACAGTCATTGAGTGTGTGTGTATGCATCACTGTTTAAGTCTCTCACAGCATCCGGAGATAATAAATATATTTCTATAAGGACTTGACTCTAGAGAACCCAATTCAGTAAGATCAAAATAGAAATATTCCTTCTTTTTCGTCTAGGTCAGGATTTCTCAGTCTAGGCACTATTGACACAATGGGCAGGGTAACTTTTGGTGGGCTGTCTTGTGCATCCTAGGATGTTTGGCAATGTCCCTGGGCTCTACCCACTGGACACTAATGACAACCCAAAATATTCCCAAACATTGCCACCTGTTTCTTCGGGAGGCTGGGGAAGTGAGGGACAAAATGACTCTGGTTCAGAACAATTAACCTAATCATTTTTTAAAATTTGGTCACAGATATTGATCACATAGCATATGCCATACATTTAGGTGGTAGAAAATCAGTGGAGGATAAAAACATGTAGAAACTGTGCTCGTGGAACTCTCAGCCCACTAGGGAGAAAGCCATTCATAGGCGTCTACATAAGTCAGTGAATAAGTACTTAGGGAGTCATTTTGGCTGGAGAAGGACAGAGGGAAACTCCCTGCATGGTTCAGGATGAGGTTGGAGAGAGAGAGATCAAACCATGATCAAGTACATTGGGAAGACTTGAAAATGTTAAGAGGATGGCTTGTGAGATTAGAGGGTGCCAACTGGGTGATGTATTGACTGGAGGAACTGTGTAAAGGGAGATGCTACTGTCAACATCAATGGTTCAGTAGAGAGAAAGATTTGATGATGGCTTAGGTCTGGCCAGGAAGGGTAATTGAGATATAAAGGAGACAAGAGACCAAGACTTGGTAATGGATTGGATTTGGGAGGTGAAACAGATGGTGTCAAGGGTGTGGCTTTTGTTTCTGCATAATGCAGTTATCTGGATGCTGGTGCCATTCTTGGGGATAAAGGCCAGACATGGGGAGAGTGATGATCATGTACTTGGTATGACATACTGGCTTTGAAGTGCCTTTGACACTTACAAATAGATATATTGAAGGATTATTGGTGTATAAGTCATCCAGCCTTTCCTTTTTCCTCCATTATACCTCATAGTAAATGCTTTTGAAAAGATTTCTTTTTTTTTTTTTTTTTTTTTTTTGAGACTGAGTCTTGCTCTTTTGCCCAGGCTGGAGTGCAGTGGCACAGTCTGGGCTCACTGCAACATCCGCCTCCTGTGTTCCAGCATTTCTCCTGCCTCAGCCTCCTGAATAGCTGGGATTACAGGGGCATGCCACCACGCCCAGCTAATTTTTGTATTTTTAGTAGAGACAGGGTTTCGCCATGTTGGCCAGACTAGTTTTGAACTTCTGATCTCAGGTGATCCGCCCACCTTGGCCTCCCAAAGTGCTGGGATTACAGGCGTGAGCCACTGTGCCCGCCTCATTCAGATTTCTATAGAACTTGTTTGCTATTTCTTCCATTTGTCCCTCCTTCTCTCTCCACTGCCATTATCCTCATTCAAGAACTGAGCATCTTGTGTGCAGGAGATCCTTAGCAAAAGTTGGTTGAATAGAAGAGCGAATGTAGTTCAAGCCCCACTCCCTGGTTTTCTGATATCTATAGATGGCAAATTGTGTTTTGAAACCCAGATTCCTTGAATAGCCACCATATGTGACACTTTCCGTTTTCCTCTTCCAGGCAGGTCTCTCTGGAGACCTTCTGTTGGTGATTTGTTGGTGACTTTTATTCACACAAAGAAGCAGTTCTATAAAACAGACTACTGGCTTGCTTGTTGGTACTCCAGACCTTCTGTGTCCACTCAAGGCTGGTTGTTTCCTCTACAAACCTGCTCCCATGAGAGCAGGGACCTGCGTGAAAGCAGGAATTGAGAAATTGGGCTCACCACTGAATATTCCCTGGGAGTTAATCAGTCCTGCCACAGAATAGAAGCTCAGTAAATATTTGTGAAATGCATTTGGTCAGTGAATAAAAAGTCCTTTTATTTTTCTAAATCCTGTTCCTTCCCACTTTGTCCCACATCTCTAAGGAAGACTTCCCAACTTACCAAATTTTCACTGTCCTTTGAAACTTCTTCAGAGTTTATTATCCATATGACCTTGGCTTTAAAGTCTAGACAACCAACCCTAATTGTGTGAAATCGTGTTTTATGCCTGCATTGCCAGCCATGTGTGTTAGACTGGTTTCAACAGGAGGTGGTGTGTCTTCGTTCTGGTCCTCACTGGACTTCTCTGGACGTTAGCTCCCTTGTTCTATAAATAAGCAGGTTGGGCTAGGTGATCTCTGAAATGATCTGACTTTGGTGATAGCCTCCTTCTCGTTAGGGACTGTACCTTTTATTTCTACTGCATTTTCCACAGGTACTAGCATGGCCCACACTAGGTGGTCAGTAAATATGTGTTCAGTCTAGCTGCTTTGGTGTATTATGAGGATAGTTCAACACAATCACAGTGACTTTGCACAAGTGGGGGCATTTCTAGGCAGGGAAGAGAGAAGACATTGTCCTCACAACAGGTCCTCTGGTGCTCTGTGCCCGCCTCTCATGCCTGACACCATTGGCTATAATGTTTACAGAGGAACTGGCCTCTTTGGTTTTAGAGGTATTTTTCTGGATGGTCCTGAAGATTGGATACTATTTCTCTCCTCAGTCCCTCCCACCCTCAAAAGACCTGCTGTGCCAAGGAGAAGTTGAGATCACAGGGAAGAAGACAGCCAGACTTGGGAACTGATGAAGAAACAAACAAAAAAGTCCCCTTTGCCCAGAGTTGAGGAGCAGTTCTGGTTCCAGACACCCATGCTGAGAAACTTGACCAGCAGAAAACCCAGTGGGGGACGGGGTAGGAGATTCACAGGCCACTCAAGGCGGGGGTGTGTGGAGGCTGTTTGGGTTGGCTCCTGTATCGGACCTCCTGGAGGGAGGACGGAGCAGAGCTGAGCATTGGCCACTGCTGCCTGTCTCTGTTTCTCTTTCCATTTCTGCCCCAGTGTTGCTCAAGCTAGCAGCAATTTAGATAGAGCCCAGTAAGCTACTTCTAACCCTTAGCAGGTCCAGGATGAGGCCTTTCCTTGAGAACCATCTGTTAATCCAGTCTGCTGACTGTCTCATCATTTTTTTTTCCTGCTATCTTTGCACAGAGAGGACATATGAGTGACTTCAAATAACTCAGCATAGGACTAACAGGGACAGCCCCATAAACCTGTTTCCTTCATACCTTAGCTTCCCTGGTGGGACTTAACTTTTTTTCCCCTTGATGAAAGGAAATGACTATGTTCTGATCATTGTTGGCACAGAAAGAGAGATAACTAAATTCCTGGCCTTTTGAGAAGAGACACTATCAGCCTTTTCTTTCTTGGGGCCCAGGGATGTCTTGCCTGGAGACAGGTAATTGGACAGGATGGTATTTGTATCTCCTAGATGGGTAGCCTGGGTTGCAGTGCAGGAAAGGGCTTGGGGGCCAGTGCTCTCACTGGTCCCTTTCCTAGGTTAGGAAAGGTAGGCTTAGGGTGTCACTGTTTTGGAAGTCAGATCTCTAGTTAGATTCCATGTCACCTCTCCAATTCAAACTCACTCCATTAATTTTCCCGGGGAGTACAGCGGATGCCTTCATAGGGCTGGATCTTCCCAGCAGGCTGAGACTTGGGGCTTATGAAGAGGGAACATGGAAAAGTTGCTGACAGTCCTTACACATGTCGATGACTCAGTCTGAATCCCTCTCTGAAATCTAAGTCTCTCCAGATGTTGACCTCGGCTGGAAAGCGGGGGCCTTTTACCCTGTTCACATGCACACCCTGTCTTCTCTACTGCTGCTGCTGCTGCTGCTGCTGTTCGAACAGGCCAAAGGGGCGTGGGGACAGATTGGAGGAGGAGAAAGTGGCTGACAGAGGTGCCTCACCAAGGGGCGGAGCTCTCTGAACTCAGAACACATTCACTGTCTTCAGTAGGGAATAAGAAGAGGCCAGAGACCAAGGCCTAGGGGTAGTTTGCAGAGCAAAATGGGGGAAGGATCTTAACTCCATACACCTTTTTTTCATCCAGTTCTGGAGGTATAGGCAGCATCTTGGTTCTGAGGATGGCCTGGAGTCTGTCTGAAGATATGGTGGTGTTCCTTCCCATTTTTCCATCAGGCTTCTCTCCTATTCTTTCTGCTGCATTCTCAAATTGTTTTTCAGTAAACAATTTCTGCTTTTTTCAGGAGAGAGATTGGGGTGCTTAAAGTGAGAGATTTATCACAAGAGCAATGGTCATGGGAGGCTCTTAGGGTCTACCTTGTCCTGCTTCTTTGGGAGCCAAGAGGCTTATCTCAGGGGCCACACCTGGGCGGTGGAAGAGCCAGGATAGTGACAAGATTGCCGACCCCAGGCCAAGGACTGCCTGCTGCACCATAGTGCCTTCCCTACTCGACTTAAAAACAAGCCTGTCCTTGAGTCTCCACTCTATTAGCCTTTTCTTTCATGCATGCATGCTATGATCACAGTGAAGGAACCTAATATTAAAGAGGGAGAACTGGAAAAAAGTAGTCCTTTTTAGAGGCAGAGCATGAATTTGGATGACCTCTGGACAACTTTCAAGTTCTCATTTTGAGAGCATTCAAACTTTCATTTGCTTTTAATTATTTTCAGACTTCTGAAAATTGATCATTTCTGTTCCTTTTATCTTTCCAAGTCCCACTAACAATAAAACTACATGGTATAATGGTGCATAAAGAAAATTCAAATTGTATGCTTCAGAGGGTTCTAAATAAAGTTTTCACATTGACCACTAGCCACTAACCTGCCTCCCTTAATCCCCATCTATAACATAGTAACAAAAAATATGTCCTTTTTCCGAATACACTGGAAATACAGTTCCATTCAGCTGTTAAGTTAAAAGTAGGGCTGCATCCCAGGGTGTTAGAAAAGGGTGTTATGGTACAAAAATATCACACATATTAAAATCATTTGGCCTCATGTGGTCACGAATAATATGTTTTAATCCATCCACCAACTGGAGTAAGGAACTTTGAGTTGGAGTGTTGCTAGAGAACAATTTTATAATAAATAGACCTTGAGATGAAGGGTAACAGACAAAGTCACAAATCATAGGCAAAGTGAGATCTCAAACCTACATCTCTTAATCTCCAGTCCAGGCTTCTGCCACTATGCAATGATGCACCGCAATTATAATTTCTGGCCTCTTTTTTATTTTCTGTGCATTTGGTCTGCTTTTCTCTTCTCCCCTTGTGTGCTAAGAGCCATGTACAGGAGCCTTGGCCCTCTTAAAATCATCCCACCTGCCAAGGGCCATCAGTTCAGAGTTTTAGGGCACCTGACCCTTTGAAAGCGGGGAAAGAGTTGCTATCAAGGGGGGAAAAGGACCGCAGAGACAGGCTGAGGTTGCCACACATGAAGAAGGTCAATGGCTTCATAATGGGTGATTTCAAAGCATTGTGACCATCAGGCTGGTAGAGTGCATTGGATACAGGAGATCTGACTAACTCTACTGACCAAGGTTGGGCCAAGAGAGAGCATCACAATGAGCCCTACCTCTTTGACTTGGCTTGCCAAGCCTCTACTTCCTAGTCTTAGTGGTGATTGAGGGAGAAGAACAGGCAGATTCAAAGCATAATTTTACTACATGTCCTGAAACTCTTAAAAGAGAGAGTTGGCAATGAAGGCTTGCTTGACAGTGTCACTGTCAGGTTTCCCCATTGTTCTTTGGGGCAGAATTCTCATATTTGGAGATCTCAAAAAGTAGATTTAGTTGTATTTATACTAAATAAAAAGAAAAAAGTCGATCTTTTGCTGCTCTTTCTAATCCTAAAGTTCTGTGGTCCAAAGCACAAAGGTTTAGTAACACTTCCCTCTTCATTACATTCTTGTTCTGGGGAAGCAGATGGGACTTGCCTAGAGAAATGTTCAAAGCAAAGCTTTTGTTTTTAGTAAGGACCAAAGAAAGACCCAGATGCTTTAGAGTGTGGAAGTAATCAGATTTTATTGATCAAGAAATTCCAGATACTTGGCAGCCTTATTACTGTTATTATTATTATTATTATTTGGTGGGGAGGAAATGTAGTAGGTCATACCATGGAAATGTTCTGGGGTTCTAGTAAGGACCATGTCACCATGTAGAAATATTTGTTTTCTAAGACTACTGCAACAGTAAAAGTGCACTTTCTTCATGTTGCAAGAGAGGAAAGACAAAACTGAGGTTTAAAAGTCCCTGGTTAGAGCAGGAGAGCCACAGGAAGTTCTTCAGATGGGCACACAAGGCTAACTTGACATTTTCCAAATTTTCCCTTATGATTTTGTTACCTCTTTAGCTCTGGTTTGGCCTAGCTTACTTGCTACTTCCTGTGACATCTGCTTTCTTGTGGGTGTGACTAGCTAGGGCTGGTGTTGTGGGCAGTAAAGGAATTTACCAAGACAATCATAGGTAAAGAAAGGCAGATTTATTAGACAAAGTATGAAGGTATGTTGCAAGAAAGCAATGGGCAGCACAGCAAAGAAGGGGCTGTCTGCAAAGAGGCAGGGGCTGGAGGGGAGTTTTATAGGATTTATGTGCAGAATGACGTTGTGCTGCTGGGTCTATGTGGGGAAGGAGGTCATTGTGCCCACAGGTTATTTGTGTTTAGCCATTTCTCAGAAAAATTGTTTATTTTTCTTCTCCAACCTGGGGCTGGCCTTCCCCTACCTTGCGTCCTTTCTTTGTTGTTACTTATTAGGACTCCACATGCTCCAGATAAAAAAAGTTATGTCTCCCTAGAACCAGCTACATAATTTGTGAAGTCCAATGCAAAATGAATATGCTAGTCTCTTGCTAAAAAGTTATTAAGAATTTCAAGGTGGTGACAGAAGAGCATAAATCTGGGATCAGTGTGGGTAAGTGGGCACAAGACCGTTTGTGATGCACAGGTCCCATGACTATGAAGCCCACCCTGTCTGTTCTGCCTCACTTAAGGCACTACATATGGCAAATACCAGATAACTAAATTGAAAAATCCCTATCTTGTTCACCTTTATAGTCCAGGAGAGCTGGTCAAATCTCCTATTCATAATGGGAGATTGATGAATACTTGCAAATGACTTGCTTCATACTGAGGCTGTGCCATTTGCCTGAGAATGAACTTAGCCTCTTCATTACTGGGTCCATGACCATCTCCCCTCTCCCCTCCTCACACACATCCTCTATCCATAGCTGGTACTACTCCTGTCTTCACTTCTCCTACTCTTACCCTCAAGCCTTGCCAATCACTGCCCTCTTCCTCTTCCTTCTCCTTGTTCTCCTTTAGTGGTGCTTTCTTCTATGCTCCTGTAGGAAACTGGCTGAGTCCTAGGGTACATGCAGCTCTGCTGTATCCTAGTGTGGCTGAATGCACTCACTTAGTGCTTATACTTAGTGATGGGAGATGTTAGGGGCCTGAAGGTAGTTTTCCAGTCATTTGCCTGAAGATTGTATTCTCAGCTCTGAGACAGAAGGAGCCCAGCTGCAAAGAAGCTAGGCCACTGTGACTGGGTCTTCCCCTCTCTGGGATATCACAAAGTCCACATGAGGTCAGTGAACCAATCTACAAGAGAAGGGCTGAGCAGGGGACCTGGGATGATTTCCTCCAATATTTAGTCAGACTGATTTTCTGGATCCAAGCTTCTCAACTTACTACATGTGGACAAATCATTATATTTCTCCCAGCCTTAAAAATCTTCAGTAAGTTAAAGAGAGAAGGACTCAGGCTTAATGGCAATCCTATTATTTTACTAATGAGGAGACGAAACACCTAGTTGGAGATCACCTCCTTACTGGCTCAGAGCTTCAGGAAATCGCTCAAGGGTATGCAAATACTGAACAGCAGAACTGGGATTTAGATCCACATCTACTTAATTTTAGTGCATGTGCTCTAACTGCTGCCACAGAAGGGATGCAGAGGAAGATGGTCAGTTACCCAGAGGGTGATATCTTTGACTTAATGTTCACCATAAAGACAGCTATCAACAGAAGACTTGAAGTCTAACTTGTTATCTATTGTAGGAAAGTGCCTGCAACATGGTAAGTTCTCTAGTGATATTAAGCCATTTAACCCAAGCCAACCATGGAGTTGGAGAAGAATGGGGTGTGTTATAAAATACTGACATGATTTACGTGGAGGGGTAAAGTTTTAATCCTAGACTTCTGCCCTAAGTGAATAGTGAATGACTGCTGAGTAGATACAGGAGCGGGAAACAGATGTGAACAGAAAAAAATTGGTTTTAGTTTTGTATAGGTTGAATGTCTACCAGACAGGTCCAATGTTCCCAAGGATGCCCTGTAGACAAATGGGATAGAGACATGGGGTTGAGAGAATGGGGTTGAAAGTAAGGCATGCAAAACTGGAAGCTGCGACACTTGAGGTGGTCAGAGCACTTTTAGGGGACCTACTAAGAGTCAGGCACTGTGTGAGCGCTTGAGGAACCTCATCTCATTTCTCTGTCCTTACCTTAGGTGATTCCTGCAGAGCATCTGACAATCGGAGAAGAGTTAGAATACATTAAGCTCAGCATCACATATGTGGTTTAAATACAACTCTACCTCCTTCTCTTTCTTTCTCTTCTTTTCTGCCTTTGTTGCCCTACCCAGGATTAAAACCTTAGGTCTTATGTTAAAAGAATGACAAGAGAACTGTAGCATTCTCTGCCTCTTGGGCGTCTGCAAGAGGTGGGATATTAGAGGGACACTGGGGGATGCTTGGATGATCACCTCCACCCCTCCACCCCCTACGACCTCAACATGAAGTTGGCCCTCTTGAAGTGGGTGAATCACTACAGCCCTTGTTCAGGAAGTGTGTTTGAAACCAGGCTTTTAAGGAAGAGAGGTGATGACATTTCTTGGGACCTTCTTGCCAACCTGACCCTTCTGGTTGGCACCACCCAGAGCTACATTGCTTAGGCTTGAAGCCCAGGTGTGTTGTTGGGCTCTTCCCCCTTTATGAGGCCCATGTTTCTATGATGCCAGGTGGCAGCCCTTCATCAGCCTTTGGGCTACATCACTGTGGAGGTGGCTGGAGTCTCTTTTTTCATGCAAACTGCTGCCCAGTGAAACTTCATAAAGCAAGGCTAATCATGTTACTCTTCAGTTCAATCTGAGAAACTCTTTATTGTTTACAAGATGTAGACATTTTGACTAAAGCATTTCAATTTCCATATCCCCATCTCCAACCCCAACCTGGCTTTTTAGCCATGTCCTTTATTATTTCCTTCAGGGAACCTCTGTTATAACCAAACTGGGTTATTTAAAAAGTAGAAAAAGTACAGGTGTTCATAGGAAATTCAGTGATTTGTACTATTTTTTTCATCTTCACCTATTCAACTTCCATATGTGCTTCAAGACTCAAAACAAAGGCCCTATACTCTATGGTTACTTCTTTGTTTAGTTACATTTTATATCTACCAATAGAAGATGCCTTCTCCGGCCAGATATAAGCTTCTTGAAGTTCAAGCTATATTTCTGTGGGGCTCTAGGGGATAGGGCAGGGGTAGTAGATTTAGAAAATGAACTGGAATAGAGCTTTAAATTCCACATTTTGGGGACTTAGAGTAGAACTTGGGGGAGGGGCAGGGGAAGATTACAAAGGGAGCACAGTAGAACGTACTTATTATCTTGATTTGTAGTAATGGTTTATGGGTGTATACCTATGTCAAAACTTATCAAATTGTACACTTAAAATATGTGCAGTTAATTGTATATCAATTATACTTCAATACATTCATTTAAAAAGTGTACATTATTCAAATCCTCCCTCAGGAGCTCTTTCTAGAAGTAAGGCAATGAAACCAGGAATATATGCCTAAATGTGTCAGCAGACAAAGGCTTTAAAAATGCTAGACTTGTATTTGAAAGGCATAGAGAATTTTGCTTGGTTTCTGTAATTCATGGGGGTTCCAATGGGCTATCCTGATAGGAAGCCAGCTGATTTAAGGAATCCCAATAGGCATTTTCTTAATTTTATCCAACATTTCAGTACTGCCCCAACCACTCAACCAAGCTTTCATGTTGACTTTCAGCCATTGTGACAAGGCACCATCAATCATGGACCCTTTACCAGGAGGGTCCATGTCATAAGCCACTATATAAAGGAAATGATGGGTGGACTGCTTTGGACAAATGGATTTAGGGTAGGAGAGAGGGACAACAGTAGGAGCAGGTGGATATTGCTGTTTCAACCAAAACCTCGTACTGACCAGAGCTGAGGAACAGAAGATGGTGAAGGCCTGCAGATGTAGGTATTCAGCATGTCATCTGAAATATTCCCCACAGAGGCAAAAAGCAAGGAAATTATCTCTGAAAAGGAATGAGAAGACAAGGTATTGATGACATTTTCTGATTATAAAGGGGACTCTCAGGACTGAGGAATTGTCACCCATGCCTGCCAGTCTCCCAAACTGTCATGCCTCTTCATAAGCAAAGATCTCCTATCACCTTCTAAAGACTGGCCCCAGTACTTCTCTAACAATCCCTTCCCTTACCAACACCCACCCACCAATAAAAAACAACCACCCAACTCTCTCCCTGTTTCCCCATGAGTCCTGTGAAGAGCCAGGCTTTCTGTGCTCATGGCTTGTCTTCTTTGTGCTGTAGAGCCTCCTTCTAATCTTGTCCATGCAGTAAAGAGAGATCATACAAACCCTGGACTACCTCTTTGAGGTGGGACTCTCAAACTCTTTGAAGGTCTGTTATTTGATGGAATCTCTGGGAAACTGAGTTGGGAAGGTCCCTATATGAAAAACACATGGGTTTTTGGAGTGTATATCTTTAATATTCTTATTTGTCTCTTTAGTCAGCAGAATATGTCAATGTTTTGGTTGAAGAAGCTGCTTGAATCTGGGCTTTTCTGGGCCATGTGTTCTCCCACAACCAGCACTAAGAAAGGCTTTTGGTACAGGCCCAAGACCACCATAATCATCATTGATTATTCCTCTCCACCCCAGTGTCTCTAAATAAAATTTCTCTTCTTTCTCTGACAAAGGTGTGTTTGAGTGTTACTGTTCAGCTGAAGAGTGACGTTGGGTGACCTTAGAACCCTAGCCCTTCATGTAATCAGATGGGTGTGATAAGTAGAGGGAGAACCACATGAGTCAGGAGGAAATATGTAGTTTACCCTTTTTTTCCTGTTTGAAAGATTTACTATGATGTTTGTGGTTGGGCTTTGGTTTGGGATAAATTGAGGTGCTTTCTGGATATGATAAGGGCTTATTTGGTTTGATAGACCATCTAAACAAGTCCAGTGCAGGCTAAGACAGGTGAACCACCAGATCACCACAGTTCACACTTCTCATTCATTTGTTAGCAGAAATGAAGATGCTTGTTTTCCTAGAAACAAGCCCAGGTCATCCATCATGAAGTCCCGGAATTGTAAATGTGAGGAAGTGCAAAGACACAACATACGCTTACAAAGGCATATGTACATTTGGAACTCTTTAAAGGACAACATCCTCGAGCTTCTCCTGGTAGTATGCTCTAGATATCATGTAGTGTTTGGGCAATTTGGGATCAAATAATTCTTATAGCTTTATAGAATCCCTTGTGTAATTAAACGTGAACCTTGTATAACTTATGTAAAGGTACCAAATCATCTCTTACTCCCAATCCATTACCACTAAACTGCAAAAGTTCTGCTAAGCACAGCTTGCCTCCCCCCGAGAATCATAAATGCAATCTTTAAAAACCATTTACCAGCAAGACCAAAGCTAATCTGTAAGGTTGGGGCCTCACAACTCAATTCTCTATTTCCTTTGGAACATGAAAGATGCAGAAACTGCCTTTTTCTTGTTCGGCTGACTTAGGTGGGCCCCAGGGTTTTGTCCTATTTTCTAGATGTTGATGAGCTTCTTGCATTTCTTTGATGATTGCTTTTGCTCTTTGGTGGTCACATTCGGTCTTAGTGTAGGGGTGCGGAGAGATGGCAATTTACTGCTTAAAGATGTTATGGCAGGTGTTCCTGGGCGCAAGAGCGGGGTGTCCTGAGGTAGTGTATGTAGTAATAATACAAGTCGCTCTTGTGGTAGCAGGCTGTAGTAATATAGCTATATCATTGGATATAAGCATGTCTTATGGTAGTAGGCCATAGTAACAGGTAACAGGGACCTCTGGTAGTAACTGGCTACAGTAACGGGTTATAAGTGTGTCTGGCAGTAGTAGGCTGTAATCACGTTGTGCATACACTGACATAATCTCAGGGAGAAGGCAAAGGCAAAGAGGTCAATAGCCTTCCCTGCGTCATTCTGGCGCAGTCCTCCACACCACCCTCACTATTTTTGCTACATTTACATAGGACATGTTTTACTATTGAATAATGCCCATGTGCCAGGTCCTGTTCACATGTCTATGTACTCTAAGAAATGTACACATAGTGTATATAGTCTAAGACATATAGTCCAGGAGAAAACCAGAATAAATCTAATAGTACCAGGAGATCTATCACATGTTCAAATTTGAAACTTAGAAGAAAATTTTGAAATTGATAATAGTGGAGAACTACAGGATGTGAAACATTTGAATCTTCTGTCTAGGGTATTTAATATTTATTGATGAAAGTCTTGTATGAGGTAAGCAACCATGACCCAAGTTATACCTTACAGCAGCTTTTGTGAGTTATACGAGGTGATAGGGCCACTCAAGAGAGCCCCGACAGAGTTATAGGGCCAGATAGCAGGTGTTTTATTCTTTGCAGGTGATAGCAGCCATAGTAAGTGAATGGCTCTGGCTTTGTTTTAGTTAAACTTTGCTGGATTTGGCCTGCAGACTGCAGTTTATCAGGCCCTACACTAGAGACTGTGGAATCATTATTTCATTTATCTCGGTTGTAGCATCGAGGTAATCAGGGTCCCAATTTCATAATTGAAACAGGTGGAATGATTAACTTGCTTAAGATCATACAGCTTAGGATGTGCTTGAATTAAGACCCACGTCAGAGTGGTGCTATTATACCTTCAAAAAAGTCACACAAACGAAGAGGTAGGTAGAGCTGGCTGGCAGGGTTCTATCTACCCTCATTCCTCCAGCCCCTGGGAGGTTGGATCCTTCTTCTCCGGATCTCACCTAAGTGTCAATATTATGCTTCCTTTTCCTAAGAGTTTCATTAACCCTTTGCGGTAGGTTGTTACTTCTACTCAGAGGCTTCTTCCTCTTTCTGGATACCTTTCTGCAGTAGGCTATCTTTATACTTGTCTTCATGGGACTAGTAATTTTATATTTCTGGTAAAAGGGTCTTTTAAGGAGTACAGGGAAGTAGGGCTAGGGGACAGAACCTACTAGTCCTAAGCCAGATGCTACTCAGGCAATTAAATCAGTGACAGGAGGAGGCAGCTATCAGGTCAGGGCTTTGTATGATGCAACAAGCGTCATAATGTTACAGCCACCATTATCCTTTATAACTCATCATATCAGGTGCTGAAACTGGTCCCAGATTAGAGAGCATAAGCTTGTGAATCTGAGTACAGTCCCTCTTGCTCGGTTATAACTCATGACCTAACACTTTTCTCCAGTCTTTCTGCTTTTCAAAATTTTATAGTTGCCCATTATGGTGCGCTTTTAATACATTCTCCAATAACAGAAGATTACTCTCATAACTTATGTCCAAACTGGTGGCCCAAGAACCGAAACAGCCCACAAATATGTTTTCTTTGACGTCCTATGCAGGCCAATGTGGAGTGAGCAGAAAACATTTGGATTAGTTGCCACCATGGAAAAGTCAGGAACTTTCATGTAAAATCTAGATATTTGACTTCTTGGTTGCTCTTAAAAATGTTCAGTGTCTATCAATACTAGATTTTAACTGGCTTGCACTCAGAAGCATCTTTCGGAAGAGGCACGTACTTGTCAATTTGCCTGTCTCCACAAATCCCTGCTTGTGTTACTTTATACTACCTGCCTGAGCTCTGAAGATATTTGATTTTGTAACCTCTCTCCTAAACTTTTGGTAGCTAGCACTACCAGCTGTGTTGGTTCCATTGCTCTCTTGCCCACATTTATCAAACAGTAAAGAGGACAGTTTGATATTCTAGGTAGGGGATCCAAGGACAAGCATCTGGAATTGTATACAGGGCAACCTGCTTTTTGGATCTTTATTCAGATCACAGGGACCACACATTATCAAGTCTATCTCATTGCTAGCCTCAGAATCCCTTCTTTTTCCTGAAGAATAGTTTGAAATTAATGAGGAAATTATAAGAATTATAACCACAGAGAAGAGAATCAGTTGTCTGTCTGGATGTGACTTGGGCTCCAAATTGGGACAGAAGACTCCTAACACATTGTAGTCCTCCTGCCCCTGACACTTACTATTATTTTTTGGTGCGTATAACACTGTGTTCTCTAAATGCTTTCTTGATAGCTGGGACTGCAAGAACATTGTGTTAGGCAGAGGAATTGCCTTAAACAGGTCCTGGACCTGTGAGTCTTTTTCCAGTTTTGTGATTCCCTGAAGGGCGGGGACCCTGACTGATCTCTACCTGCATTGTTGGTGTATGACAATAACAATGGCAGCGATGAGATGATAATGTTGGAGCAAGACAACTCACTGGATTATTCGTTTGTGTATATTCTCAATATATTTCCCCTCCCCTCTTTGAACCAGAGAGCCACATTTTCATTGTGTGTTTTCCTGCTTTGGGTGGGGGATGAAATGAGCTCTTTGTACATAATTCCCTTCCTGAGTTTTTGGTATTCAAAATCTATAATTCCCTTGCTGAGTATTTGATATTATTGGCATGTTTTGGGAGCAACTTAATTTTATCTCACCTTCCAATACAACCTGAGATAAGAACTTGAGTCCAGGCTTTGTAATGGGAGGTAGATTATAGGAAGCAGAAGGGAGGGGACAGGCCACGTGGGACAGGGAAGGAAGAGAATAAAGAATATGTTACTGAGCTGAGTATTGTCATCAGCAACTGGGGTTCAATCCTGCTGGAGACCCTCTGAGAAACTGTAGAATGCACCTTGGAATTATCTCTCCAGATGCGGGGAGGCTGGGACATGTAATGGATTTCCATCCTCTCCTAGTTGAAGGTTTCCTCTGGGAATGTTAACTGCCCCTTGGGCTGCCTAGCACCTTTGATAGGTAGGAATACTTGCTCCCTGATATATTATTCTCAGCTTTTTTAGGGCCTCAGCCAAAACGGAGACAGAAAATGCATCATGCTAACATTGTTGTATGTATGTGTATGACTACATAATATTCTATCATTTTGTTTTATACAATCTATGAACCAACATCTTATATTTACTGCAGTTCTAATTATTTTTATTAAAATGTATACAAAAATTTACATCTTTGTTCAGTATTGTCTGTATTTTTTATATTTTCTTAGGATACAGCTTATAAAAGTGGATTTATAGGGTCAAATGGGTTATGTGTTTTCTAAATTGCTTTTCAGAGAGGTTTCATTGACCTGTAGTCCCATCAGCAGTGTGAGAGAGCATTAAAGGTGAACTTTGGCAATGACCTGGCATGGGTGACTAAGAGAGGTTGTAAACTCTTATTGCTCAGAGGACTTTTAGCACAGTGGAGGCCTCTATTTATTTGGGGTAGGTTAGAGCACTATTCTATGTGAATAGAAAATGTATGAAGGACATTCATTCCGGATTCCTTGTCTTCCCTGGATTCTAAAAGTGCTTCTTTATAGTATCAGCTGAAATAAGCATATACAAAACACATAAAATAGATTCTTCAAAGATAATTCCATTTTGAGATATTTAATAGAGTTTTCAAAGGTTCTGAATTTACCTTCCCATCATTACACCCTTATTTTCTGTGTATCCATGTACTAAATGGGTTACCAGGTGTTCCATGTTCAAATTTCTAAGATTATGTGGGAAATGATAACCCAGATACATATTAGAACTCTTGAAATTTTAATTTACATGACCAAACACCTTGTAGAAGTTCTGACAGTTGATTGATAGAATTGGAGCCCAGTTTCCCTTTGTCCCTTTTGTTTCCCAGGAGTTAAACTAGAAAATCAGAGGAAAAGATTAAAAAATGGAGATCAAGAGAAAGAGGGAAAAACAAAGACCAGAATAAACAAAATTTCAATTCATCCCCTGGATCAGTGAGCACAAGCCATGCTTCTTGATTCGAACTCAGGTGAAGGGTGAAATGCAGCCACATCTATATTTTCCAATGCCTTATCTGTCTCCCTTTGCTTCTCTTTGCTTTTCTTATTTTATAGGCTCAAAGCACCTTCATGTCTATCATCAACAATAAATGGGCCTGGTATCATTGGAAATGTGAAAAATAGAACGTAAGAATTTTCAACCCCCTAAAGAAACCCTGGCTCCTCCATTATCTCTGAGGTTTCCCATAAGATCTCTTAAAAGTTTGTTGTTTTCCAGTGAGAACACATGGACATAGGGAGGGGAACATCACACACTGGGACCTGTTGGGGAATGGGGAGCAAGGGGAGGGAGATCATTAGGACAAATATCTAAGGCATGTGGGGCTTGAAACCTAGATGACAGGTTGATGGGTGCAGCAAACCATTATGCACATGTATACCTATGTAACAAACCTGCATGTTCTGCACGTGCATCTCAGAACTTAAAGCAAAAAAAAAAAAAAAAAAAAGGGTGTTGTTTTAATGGAAGAGGTGAACTAATTTCCAAACCAGTTGATCCCCACCACTGTCTAACACAGGCCATTCCTCCAGAGCACCTGGGGGAGCTGTTGTGCCTGGCACCAGTCTCTGGCACCAGTCTCTTTCCAAGAAGAATGTGAACATGAACATATATACCCAACCATCCAGAAACAAGGTTCTTAGTACGTACTGTCACAAGAGCAGGATGTTTGAAATTGGTATGGCCCTAGAGTTTTCAGAACTATGGAGGTCAGTGGAGCATGGGGGCAAAATGCAGTGTTCATTGCACTGTATTCTGTTGCCTCTCCAAGCTTCTCCTTTTAAGCACAACAACTCGCTGAAAGTGTTTTGTTTCATGATGAGGTCTGCAGATAAAATAAGTGAAAAACGTGCTCACTTCGGCAGCACATATACTAAAATTGGAACGATACAGAGAAGATTAGCATGGCCCCTGCGCAAGGATGACACGCAAATTCGTGAAGCGTTCCATATTTTTAAAACCAAACACCGCATGTTCTCACTCATAAGTGGGAACTGAACAATGAGATCACTTGGACTTGGGAAGGGGAACATCACACACCGGGGCCTATCATGGGGAGGGGGGAGTGGGGAGGGATTGCATTGGGAGTTATACCTGATGTAAATGACGAGTTGATGGGTGCTGACGAGTTGATGGGTGCAGCACAGCAACATGGCACAAGTATACATATGTAACAAACCTGCACGTTATGCACATGTACCCTAGAACTTAAAGTATAATAATAATAAAAAATAAATTAAAAAAAAAATAAGTGAAAAACGAAGCCCTCCTAAAGTAATAAAGAGAGAGCACCTTAGGAAGAAGAGATACAGACAAAATCTCTTTGCCACAGTATGGCTTATATTTTAGTTTTCCCAATTTCCTGGGAGTTTTATTCACTGATATTTTCCAAGAACCTAGACCCATGGCGAGAACAATAGATGATCAATAAATACTTGTTGAACAAAAGAATGACTCCAGTTCCAGGGCTAGTCCTGGCCACTCTTTGATCACTTGGTCCCTCTGTGATTTCGTTTCCTCATCTGTTAATGTCTGCTAGTGGGTGGGAGGAGAGGGGAAGGTTGTAATAGCCAGTCCCTGAGATCCTCTCTATTTAGGATGGTGTGTGGTTTCCATAGTCAAGGTCCTAGTTGGTTAAGTGACTTAAGTAGGCATCTTCTTTACTGTTTCCCAGAATAAACTAACCCATATAGGAAAGAGAACAGTTCCATTCCTGAGTATGGGCATCAGAGTATGAGCAAGTTGAATCAAAGTAGATCTCTTTCAGTTTTGGCTTTGCCCTCTGTTAATTTCAAACTGTCCCTGAAATTCATATACATGGCAGTAATATGGTTCTAGTGTTTCTGTAGGTGAATAAATTTAATCCCATCTCTGTAAGGCAGCCTCTAGTTTGGCCTGGCCAGTGCTCCTTCCTGTTTGCTTGCTGTTCCTCGTCATGCTTTCCGCTCCTATCAGTATCACATAGCAATGATTTCTCACCCTGGCAGTGGCAGTTCCTTCCAGTAGCAGCCAGGGACACCAGTTTGCAGTTTTGTCAACACTTGTAGAACTAGGTCCATTGTTCTCCCACAGAAACACCATCGGCCGTCATCTGGCTCAGGGGTTTGGGTCCCAGCATGGTGAGCCCTCCCCTTCAGCCCCAGCAGAGAAGCAGTTCCTTTTAGCCTCATACACAAGGCCAAGGAACTTGGCTTTGCTTCTGTGTGGGCATCTTATCATGATATCGCCCTCAAAGGTCATACTATATATATGACTCAGTCACTGTGTACACCACCCAGCAGGCCCCAGGAATAAGTCAGGGTTGTGACAAAAAGACTTGTTTGCTAAAGAAAGGGACTCGTCTTTCCCGCACTAGCTTCAGATGATCCTGAGATGGCACCCTGTCTGTGGGCTACTTTGAGAAGAGACATCTGACTTGGTTTAATTTTTAGCAAAATCTGCAATTGGTAATAGGATGTCAGACAGTAGGAGGAGTGTTGATGGGTGATCTGCAGACAGTGCTGGTCATGACATTTGGCTTTCCATCCCCTTTGGCTTTCCACCCATGCCATCTTGATTTCTTTAGTGAAACAACTAAGCAATTGGACACACCTTGTTTGAATGCCTACTCCATATCTCTCCCAGACCCAGCTGGGGACAGTATGCATCATCTCCTTTACATAACAGATTTTCCAGGATGGTCTCAATTGAAAATATGTTGGGTTCGGAGTATCCAAGTATGCAAGAGCTGCTAATTCATGCCTCAGTATGTCTCTCTCAACATTTAAATAACAGAAGTAATACATTGGCCCTAAAAGCCAAAAAAATTGGTGCAGCTCCAAATAAAAGTAATAAATATATTCAGCCACAAAGTCACAGTGGCTTTGTTGCACAACATTAAAAGGCACAGGTCCTTCCCTCAAGGGGCCTGTGGTTTAGTGGGTGAAGCTTCCTTGTCTTGCCTTATGATTTGGTGTTTTTCATGCCAATGTAGGCAGCTATCATAGAGGTAGGAACAGGTGAGCGATCTCCATCTTTCCTTGGTCCTGTGGGTAAAGGGGAAAGGAAAGGAAGAGGGCAAATAAAGTGTGTGATGATGGGGGGACTTTCTGGAAAAATAGGGGATTGCTGGTTTCCCCACGTTGGTGATTGGGCCTGGCAGACATGGCCCTCCTGGCAGGAATGAGGCTTAGAGAGAGTGAGAGCAAGTATGCAGGAGGCTGCTGAATCACTCGTGAGAAGTGAAGTCCCCATTGTGACTCTTATCTCCAAACCCCACTTGCTCAGCGTGGGCAGGGGTTCAGGATGAGGTTCTGCCTCTGTCCTCAACTGGGCATTATGGAATGTGGAAGTACCAAAGGGGTAGAGGAAGGTGGAGGTGGAGAAGTTCTACAGAAAGAAGAAGAATGTGAAGGCGGAAGCAGAGGGAGAGCAAGAAGAGAGGAGAGGGTTGAGGAGGCAAGAGGAAAGGGGCAGGAAGGCCTAGAAGACAAGAACAGCACCAGAGGGCCTTGGTTCCCTGTCTCCAGGGGCAAAGGCATCCTGGGTGGACCAGGAACCTTTGCTCCCTTTTGTCCTTACCAGCCTTGGAGAAGCACATCAACCCTCCAGGCTGTCCAGGCCCAGAGTGGGCTTTGGGAAGAAGGCTTAGAAGGAGCTTTATTGGAAGGCCTGGGGGCTTTCCATAGGCTGCAGAAATCATTTGAGGGCTGGGGAAAGATACTTCTCAGGCCCCTTCCTGCCTCCAGGAGCCTGGCCTGCCTGGCTGTTGGCCACAAGAGCAGGGCCCATCTCTCCTCCCCACTGCACACCCCGCAAGCCAGTCATCTGCCTTTTTTTCCCTCCCCCCTCTACTTCCCCACCCCTTCAAGTTCTCAGAACTCACTCCCATTAGATTCCAGGAAATGGCTGGTGCAACTTTGTAACCAAATCCGCTCAAATCCCTTTGTATATCTTTTCTGCTCCCTTGCCCCCTTCTTGATGTCCTTCATGGTTGTGTCCGGTTACAGAGTAGAGACCGGCCAGGGCAGGCTGGCCCTGGCACATGCCCTGGCCCTGGCACATGCAGTCAGATCTGAGTCAGGCAACAGCACCCAGGGCCAGATTGTGTCAAAGCAAAGTGAGCTG